AAGGCAGGGCCGGAGAGCGGGGGGCGGCCGGCGAGGAGGAGCCCGCACTTTGCTCTTTTTGTTGTGCCGGTGGCGCCGGGCTCTCGCCGCCTTCTTCTTTCGGGAGGTGACGAGAGGGGAGAAAAAGACGAGATAATTCACGCCGGCGACGAATTCACAGCGAAACAGAAAAAACAAAAATCAGAAGAAAAAGAATTGCAAAAAAAAAAAAAAAAAAAAAAAGCGAGCGAGAGAGACATCCAAAGTAGGTCGAATAAATAATCCTCTTCTTTCCTTTCTTGCTCCTTCGTCTGCTTCTTCTGCTATAGCACACAGAGCTCGTTAAGGAAACCCTGGAGGTCGCCCAAAAATGTTCTTTTTTTAGGATTTTAAATAAGTGCTCTTCAGCCGGGAACCAACACCCTCCCTCCAAAAAAAAATCATAGATGTATAAAATAACGATAAGAAGACTGCGGCCGGGCGCCTCCGCCTCCTGCCTTTTTTTAAGTTGAGCCCTCTCTCCTCTGCGGGATCGAGCGGAAAGGCCGGGAGGAGGGAGCGGAGCGGAGCGCGCGGGGAACAACTAATAGGGACTGTGAGAGAGAGAAAGGAGCGCGGGAGCGGGGACGGGAGAGCGGGAGGCTGCGAGGAGCAGAGGAGGAGGGGAGAGGGGGAGAGGGAGAGAGACCCCGAAATTGAATGCGTTTAAACGGGAGGACTCGCGGAGCGACGTTTCCGAAAGGGGGATCTGCGCGAATGTCTGTATATAGTGAACTTTGACACTACTATTGAAACTGACACGTTTCTATGGAGATCGCTGCCTTATATGGAGCTCGTGTCAAGGAGCCAGGAGAAGGGCTGCTGGCAACTGATAATCAAAGGCGACTGACTGGTCAGAGCCCCGNCGCTCACACACTCACACACACACACACACACACACACACACACACACGCTCTCACACTGGAACACCAGAGGGGGGAAGGGATGGCGAGGGGGAGAATGCCTTGCCATGTGCAAATTAGAAGGAAATTATGTTGATTTCTTCTGAAAAGTTTTTAAAATTAGGTTGTATGAGCTTGAAGAGAGTGTCATCGAAAATGTTAGGAATTTTTAAAATGGGAATTTAACTCTCACCGTCTTAATGATTCGTGAAATACACTGGGTTTGGATTGTTTTCTTCTTTCACATAGAAGCAGATTCCAAGAGTGGATTGTGCTTATTTTATATCCTTTTAAGAAACGAGGTAGATAGGGACTCCCTGTTCAGGGCTCCTTAAGTATAACTTGGTTTTAAAGGTTTAATGACGACCAGACACTCGTGGAATTTGCAGCTATTTCCCGAAATCAACCTGAATTCAACGGTTTCTATTGATCCCAGAGTTGATTTTAAAAATAAACTTTACAATCAATTTGATTTTTCTTTCTTCTTTCTTTTCCCCCTCTTTGATATCCTCAGGCTGTCCCAAACTCCAAACGACGCTCCAA